ATGGGAAAGCTGAAAGTACCTCGAGCCAACGAGGGAAGCCAAGGGACCCTCTGGGGTGGTACTCGGATGCAACTTCATCCTCGTTGATGGTGGACTGACCTTCGCATACAATTTCATAAAACACCATGTCTTGCCCACTTCGGTTTGTAATTTTCAAACTGAACTTGTCCTGGTTCTGTAGCACTATTTTGTTTGTACTGACAGTTGTCTCGGGAACAAATCGTAAGGCTTCAAAACTAGACTTGATATCATTGTTCGAGCGGAGAAGTTCTCCCATTGCCTGCCTCCTTACTGATCGGTCGACACGTGCAATTTCCAGATTGAACTTGCACCGTACAGGCTTATGATCACTCTCGATCACATCCATACGCGCATCATAGCTTTAATTCGAATTTACAAAAAAAAAAAAAGTTAAAAAAAAATGAATGAGTAAACATCACGGAAAATTAGGAGAGGCGAGGCGTACAGTAATATGGAAGCAACCACTGGGCACTCTAAACTACATGGTTCCATATGAGAAGCTCTATTATCTCTATATAGCACTCGATCACACCAAGCTGGGATTCTTTTCTTCTCACCAGAATCATAACCTAACACGGAGAAGTTAGAAAAAGTAAAATAAAATAAAGAAAGTTCACTTCATGAATGCTTTGAATGAGTTGTCAAGGAAACAAGTTAAACGTTACTGGAGTTGATTTAAAAAATGGAAATATTGGTACTGAGCATCTTGGGACGGAGCTAATGCACAAAATGAATGGTTTTTTTTACCTCCTAATCCTGGTTTTCCTTTTTCAAACTTGTAAGTGGGAGGAAATCTGACGAGTGCCTCACGCATTCCTTGGAAGACTTTACCAGCTTTCATTTCCGCTCTCAGCTGATCTTTCTCCCGAAGCCAATCGAAGCTTCTTTGAGAAACAAAATCCCTTGCTTCATCATACGATATGCCAAACAGACGGTAATTGAAGTCCCCAAAGAATATAACCAAATCAGCTTCGGCAAGATCAGGCCTTCCTTCATCAGGGTTAACTGTTGTAGCCTTTTAATAGTTATAAACGACTACTGTTACTTGGGCCAGAATTAAATAAAATGGAAAAAAAAAAAAAAAGGAAGAACTGACACTAAGTTTCTGGAATTACAATATACATACATCTGCACCACGAAGTGTCTGAGCAGCTGTTGAGACACCGGCTGCAATAGAGAGGACCCAAGGCAAGCCACAAGAATAAAGCATCCAAAATAAATACGTTGAGAAGACAAGAGAGCAAGACAAGTACAGGTAGCGCAGCATACCAGCAGCATTGTTTAAAAGGTTAGATGATCGGGTGAAAGTCATAGTCCGGTAAATATGGTCGAAATCGGCATTACGCCGGTTGACTGCTTCCAGGTGTGCAGCCAAATGGCAGTTTGTAAAGCACATTATCCGATCAAATACCCTCAATCTCAAACCTACACCTCCCTGCAAGTGCAAATCGAGCAGCAATGAATCTATGCTATCTAACTACCAATTGGACATCAGATTTATGAAAAGACTGAGAGCCAGTTATGTTATATATTCATAAATGGTGGAGACCGACGAGAACATAACTCATTTTACCTTATTACCAATTGCTCGGCCCAAACCACACGCAACTGCTGCAACATCCAGATCTCCAACATGTGTCCTAATAGTTTTTCTCACCCTGAGAAGAATGATAAATGACCAACTTTAAGATGATGTAAACAAAGTAACTAATTCATTACTATTCCCAGATTAGACTGAATGTGAAACTATACCAGATGGCTATCATTAGGCCAGCCAGTTGTCTAGACCCTACTCGTTCAAATGTAGATTCTTCATCCAAAGCCTTGCCAATGTGATCTTGCCACCATTGTCCGATAGAACTTCCTTCTAGCCCTACCTAAGATGGACAGCAGCTCTCAGAAAAAATAGAACATGAAAGACTTTTAAGAAAAAGAAGATGCAACAAATAAAGTTGTTTGTGAAAACTTTTGAGAGACATTCTGGAAGCACAACCTTTAACAGAGATAAAACTGCATCAGTCTGTAAAACAGTTGTTCATCAGAGAGAATTTATTACTTACTCCTATACAAGGAACTATCTAAGGAGATGCACCGGATTTTCAATGCCATGTTCATACAACAACTTACTATCACAACAATGACAATCATGGCTGCACTTGAAGTCTCAAATCTTTCTATCTAAGGAATAAAACGGCAATAACACCAATGAACATGTACAATGGGCTTACAGTTTCTTTAGCAGCCGACATAGCAAGAAAACCAGCACCCATTTCCACCTCTTGTAGCCCGATAACCACAATACCAACATCTGGTAAAGTAGAGCCAAGCCACGACATAAGAGCCTCATGAGAGGCTCTTCCTTGGCCAACGTTCCATGTCCCGACTAAAATTCTGATGTTCTCCAGCCTGGTATACTCTTTTTCTTTCTTGGCTAATTCCACACGTAATATATTGTCCATAGGTGCTGGCGATGAAATGTTCCACCCGCGTATACCTCCATGAGTCGCCAGGCTAAAAACAGAACCATTCCCAACTACCAATTTTATAACGGGACCATTATGCGCTACCCAACCGGCAATCAGATTTCCATCAAGGTCCATGATCTGGACCATGCCGCTCACATACCCAATCCATATTCTCGAACCGTAAGAGCAAAAACAGAGGATGCCACAAGGATGGTGAGTGATTTCCTGCAAGCGATTGCCATTGCCATCCCACTGGATTAACAAGCCACTAGAAGACCCTGTCCAAATCATCCCATCAGCAGAAAGAACTATGGCTTCTGTTCTTTTACCATCCTCTGCAAAAGCCCCAGCTCCCTTTGATGCCACCCGCCGAACGGCATCAGCAGCGCCCATTATAGCATTGCGCGATCTTTGAAGAAAGCCTCCAGATTTCTCCTTTTTGGACTTGGAAACGAACTTAACGTTCATTTCGTCCTCAGAGGCTTGGTCCTGGACTGTTGATATGTCCACACGGTTGTCAATCTGACCCTCTATGTTGAATACTTTTAGAAGTTCCCTTGTACGAGCATCCCTGTTGAGACGAGCCATTGTTAATATAATGTTCAGAGCAACTAAGGATAATTATTCGTGAGAAATTTAAGTGTAGGTTCTGAGACTTGCCATAGTGAGAAGGACAGAGACCCGACAGCCCAGATTCTGCTTCTTGCATAATCTGTCAACAACCACTTCACATCTGAAGAGGATATACTGCAAGTGCCATTGACTGTGACTTGGCTTTTCAGGTCAATAAATGATCTCTCCACTAACAGAGTGGCCATGTTTTTTTCTTCCGGTGAAAGAGAGAGAGATTTTTCCACAGCTTCGTATGGCCAAACCCTTATAGCCCCACCCTCCGATCCAGACCAAATATCACCTACATCCGAGGATAAAGTTAATACAAGAACAAGAAAGGTTGAAACTAAAGAGAATCATATCATAAACTATGATACTTGTGTTGAAACAAAATATCAGGCAGTTACCGAACTCGTTGAAATTGATTCGAAGTTAAAGAAAATATGATCTAGGTAAATTTAGGTTAAGCCAGTTTTGAATAAATGAATATTTTTATCCAAAAATGTAACTCCAAGACGAAAGGTAATATCAGAGAACAATGGTAAAGGTCATACGTAAATTTCAAAAACAACTAATGGGAACCTACAACTAGGACAGCAAGAGTTTAGCCCATATATAATCATTGTTTTTATTGTAAAGATCAAACAGAAAACCAGTAATGACGTCTTAATATAAACAATTTGCATACAGAGAAACAAAAAAAAAAAAAAAAAAAAACCTACAAGAGGAGAAGGGATTTATACCATAGGAAGAAATCTGCATGGAAAGAACTGGACCTCGATGAGCCTGCCAGGAAAGACCTTCCTCGAAACCGTTCTCATCAGAAAATTGCTGGTCCATCTTCCAAGACTTAATTTTACCATCTTTGTGCCCACTCCATACCACCTTACACCCTTGATCAACAACCAAACATATTGTTGGTGATGTGCTGCCTGATTCATAAAATGGAGCAGCATCCTCATCACCCCTCCTTGCTCTTCCCCCAATCCCTATCCCTGCCTTATATGCATCTGAATAGTTCCACACTCTTACACCTGATTCCTGCCCTGCCCACAGTTGGGTTTCTGTGCTGGCGATTGTTCTTAAAAATTTTCCGACCTGTGAAAAACCCATCAGTAACTAGTCATGCATTTGTTGGCTTTGCTCAAGCAAGGGAAGAAGCATAAAATCCTGTAACCTGTGCCTTTTGAACTAAATCTAGTATGATTATTTCAAATCAAATTATTTAAAGAAATACTAATGGACAAAAATGATGGCATTTCCCCATACACAACAAAAATTAGCATGAAATTCAACATGGTAAGAAGCATAAAATCCTGTAACTTGTGCCTTTTGAACTAAATCTAGTATGATTATTTCAAATCAAATTATTTAAAGAAATACTAATGGACAAAAATGATGGCATTTCCCCATACACAACAAAAATTAGCATGAAATTCAACATGTAGATTGATCCTCAGCTCAATTATTCCCAGAGATGGAAGAAGAAAATGAAAGATGTCTAAGATGAACAAGGAATTGGATAAAAATCTATGAGCTATATGCATATCCTTAACAGAATATACACAGGCACGCCCAGAAACGAGTTATCAGCATTCAATCAATTAAGCAACGCCAATATCATCGCATAGAAGCACAAATTTTTTATTGATTCCAACACACCTACCTAAACTAATAATGCAATATGAATAACAAAAATAGCACATACAATCGACAAGGAAGATCTTGTCCACAGGCAACTACTACATGTTTGCTATTTTTTTTTTCCAATTTCGGAAAATACATTTCCATGCCCCTTACTATGCATATTTACCCAGCGAATATGTTTTAATCCATCCAAACAAAATAGATCAAACGAATGATATTGGATTAGGTGAAACCCACCTGAGTTTCCCTCAAAGGATGAGGCCGGAGCTCAAGACACGGTGGGCGTCTGGGGTTCACCGCCGCCCTATTCGGCACCCTGAATATTCCAACCCCACCACCGCTCCCCATAAACTCCCGCAGAGGTTGAGACGGCAGCTCATCGGCGGATCCTTCGCCGTTCGCCGCTTTCTTCTCGCCAGCCGCCGGTTCCAAGTCAGAGTATTGGACGTGACGGTCGCTCACGGACCCATTCTCGCAGCTGCCCCTGTTGGTGATGATTGCAGAACGAGTGAGATTTCTGTCATCCAAAGAGTCCGGATTACCGCCGTAGAAACCGTGGCCGTGGCCCAGAATCCGGTTCTCGTCCAGGCTGTGCTTGCGGAGCTGGTGCTGGTGCTGCTGCTTCCGATGTGTGTCGGTTGTCAACCGCAGCTGCTGGCTGTACGAACTGGGTTTCCGGTGCGACGGAGAATTGATTCCGGCGAGGACCGCCCGGTCGTCTTCTTCCGATCGGCCCTTCATTTTGTTGGTTTTTTGGGTGATTTCCGATGAATCGAGAAAGAGAAAATTTGAGAGAAAAAGTCAAAATGGGGATATGGGAGTGAGAGAAATAGGAGAGAGAAAGAATGGTGGTTGCAGGTTGGTACAAGCGCGGAGAGTGGCGGGAGATACTGACATTGTACGGTCGTGAGCATGTCCTCCATTTTTTTCCACCAAGGTTCTGACTTCTGCGTGCCAACGAACTTTCATTGGGATCTTTAGGCAAAATTTTATTTCCGGTTGCTCAATTAGAGCATGTTTGGATATAAAATTTTTTGCTGTTGGATTTTTTGATTTGGTGAATTTTGAAAAAAGTGGTATAATTAGTTATTAACGGGTATATTAAAATAATATTTAAATTAAAATAATTAAAATTAATTTGATGTAAGAGTAAGAGAGAGATATTTGAAATGATGATTAATTAGTTGGAAAATGCTACAAGAACATAATAAATGTACATGTGTACATAACACTTACATCAAGTGAGGTCCACTTGATTTTTCATTTTTGATAGTCCCACTCAATGTGAGTTTTATGTATATCCCCATGTACAATATTATGTATTTATAACATTTCTTTACATTATATTATATCAATCTCTATCTATCACTCTCTAGTCTTAATACAATGTTTTAGAATTTGGTGCAAAAATAATTAAAATTGCTATATAACCTTTTAAATTTGACATTTCCTTATTATTAAAAGTACGGTTAGACTAACAATCTAATGATTAAACAATCATAATTTTTTTTAAAGTATGTATATCATTAAATTAAAATGTCATACTCTAAAATAAATAATATCAATAAAAATATGATATTTTCTCAAGTATACATTTATTTTGGCAAAAGTTCATTTGTTGTCCACTATATTGGTTTCTTCAAATAACATACTACATATGCAGAAGTCAAGTTTGGTACATTAATTTGTCATAAGCATAAAAAAACAAATAACATATTAAATATGCAGAAGTCAAGTTTGGTACATTAATTTGTCATAAACATAAAAAACGGTACACTGATCACAAATGATAGATTAAAATTCTATGTTTTTGTTCAGCCTAATTCAAATGTCGTATAATGTCCGTTTTAGGGAGGTGACCCACTATTAGATTCTTCTCGTAGAAATGGTCATACGCATAATATTTTAGCCTAATCAAAATTCGTTTGTCCATTCCTATTATTTTTTTATTGAATTCCAACGTCATCTAATGTTAGTTTTAGGTGGATGACTAACCATTGAATTCTTCTTGTCATACCCACAAAATTTTATCCCATTCAGTTTCTTTGCTTGTTCAATTTTCCGTCTAAAATAAGTTAAGCCTAAATTCGTAGTTTAGTCAAGTGTTTTTGGATTTGGCTAATTGGTATAGCCGTAACTACAAACTTGTAGCATAATTAAATTTTATTTGTCCATTCAATTTTCGCTTAAAACAATTCGAATTGTTCAAAGTTCGGACTAATTTTGGCGTTGTCCATCACCCCATGCAACCGTGTAATCCACCATTGGATTCTTCATATTGAGATGATTGTATACACAAAATTTCAGCTCAATCATTATACTTTTGCTCACTCAGTATTTTGTTCAAAGTATATGCACAAACTCAACATTTGCCTTGTCCAGCCGGACCATCTCCAACCTGTGATAAAGTTAAATAATCCGACTTCTACCACAAACTCATGATTGGTACATGCACCGTTTTTTGGTGTTTTTTAACATATTAATATACCAAGTTTGGTGTATGCCAACATAGTGTACCTTTTTTTGAGAGGAGACCAATATTGTGGTAAAAAAATAAAATTGTATTTTTTTTATTGGAAAAGTATAATGGATCGACTTGTCTACTAGTTAGATCGTTTTACATTACAGCTTGTATTTTCTTTATATATCTATGCTAAAACATTGATGTGATATATGATTTTACACTTTTTTATGTTTTATACTATTTCGCACTATAATATAAAAGTAAAAATTACCAAAACATTACTTTTTACTTTATACAATAATCATGGTTGTTGAAAATTAACAAAACGGCTTAGTTGCTTATAATATAAAAGTAAAAATTACCAAAACATTACTTTTTACTTTATACAATAATCATGATTGTTGAAAATTAACAAAACGGCCTAGTTGCTTATAAAACCCAACGTGTTATTAAAAAAAATCGCAAATAAAACTCAACCTTATTTTTTT